CAGACTGAGGAACTCTTCTAGATAGAAGAAAACTAAAGAGACATGATAATTGAAGGCAACTCGTGATCCTGGATTGGATCCTTTTGCTATAAATGTCATTTTGGGACAGTTGCCAATACTTGCATGGCATCTCTGCTTGAAGAATATATGCGAAACTATTCTTGCAACTTTTCTGTAAGTTTAAAATTACTAAAAATAAAAAAAATATCATAATCTCTGTCTGACTCTGACCAGTTGCTGTTGAGTTGATTCCAATTCATGGCAGCTCCAAGTGTTTCAGAGTAGAACTGTGCAACGTAGGATTTACAATGGCTGTGATTTTTTGGAGTCCTTTCTTCCAAGGTAGCTCCGAGGGAATTCAAACCATCAACCTTTCAGTTAGTAGCTGAGGCCTTAACCGTTTGTGACATCCAGGGACTCGAGTGTCTGACTCGTAGGTCCTTATTGCATTCCACTCCCATCTCGCCTGCTAACCCATTTTTGGGCCTTTTGAAAAATGACTTTCCTTTTCTGAGGCTACTTTTCCTCATTGCAAAACAAGACCTCTGGATATAACAAATAATCACTTCTGCTATTCTAGTCCAAACATGGTAGCACCCCACACGCCCCCCAACACCCTCCCCCAAGTTTGAAGAAGGCACATGTGGCTGAGCATAGGGGCTCCTAAGATGCCCTAGAGTGGCTTTAAGGTCCTCTGCCTCCACTGTCCTTGAGCACAATCTTGGTATTTACACAGGCAGACCACCCAATGCTGGTGCTGTTTGAAGGCCTGGGCTCACCGTGAGGGTGAGGGTGACTCTGAATCACAATTGGCTAGAAATGAGATTCTCATACTTTAATGAGTGTTCCTTGAAATCACCTGGGGGTGCTTATTTAAAACGCAGATCCCTGGTGTTATGGATTGAATTGTGCCCCCCAAAAATGTGTGTCAACCTTGCCAAGCCATGATTCCCAGTATTGTGTGATTGTGCACCACTGTCATCTGATGTGATTTTCCTATGTGTTGTAAATCCTACCTTTATGATATTAATGAGGGAGGATTAGAGGCAGTTATGCTAATGAGGCAGGACTCAATCTACAAGATTAGGTTGTGTCTTAAGTCAATTTCTTTTGAGATATAAAAGACAGAAACGAGCAGAGAGACAGGGGGACCTCATATCACCAATAAAGTAGTGCTAGGAGAAGAGCGCATCCTTCGGACCTGGGGTCCCTGTGCTGAGAAACTCCTAGTCCGGGGGAAGACTGATGACAAGGACCTCCCTCCAGAGCCCACAGAGAGAGAAAGCTTTCCCTTGGAGCTGACGCCCTGAATTTGACTTCTAGCCTACTAGACTGTGAGAGTAAACTTCTGTTTGTTCAAGCCATCCACTTGTGGTATTTCTGTTATAGCAGCACTAGATAATTAAGACAAACGGCAAATCTGCCTAATCCTGGTTTAAACACATAGGGGTTTATTTGCCCCACACTGTTAGAAGTTCAGAAGTGGACAGATTCGGCTGGTGCAGCAGCTCAAACCCCATCAGAGTCTTGACTCCCCTTTCTCTCCACACCATCAACCTTGACCCGCTGTGCTTGTGCTCATTGCCTCAGGTTGCAACGTGGCTGCCACTCCGTGAACAAGCCAGGTGCACTCCCTCCCTGGAGTCTTGCATTCTACTCTGCCTGAAGTCCTTTTCCTCCAGATATCTGCACGGTCCACTTCCTTACCTCCTTCAGGAATTTGCTCAGTAGTCACCCTCTCGGTGAGGGCTTTAAAACTGCAACACTCCACCCCTACCCCAAGTATCTGGAATGCTCCATCTTCCTTCTCTGTTTTATTTTCTTGACAGCACTTATCACCATCTGACATGCGATATGTTTTTCTTGTTTAATGTCTTTCCCCCAACCCTACAATGTAAACACCGTGAGGGCTGGGGCTTCTGTCTATTCTTTTCATGGTTGTATTCCCAGTACTTAGGTAGTACCTGGAATATCCGAGTAATAGGTGCTCAATAAATATTTGTTGAATGAATAAATAAATGCACTTCCAGGAAGTGCATTTGAGTTCTAGGCAGGAAGAAGAAAAGGGAAGAGCAGAAATGGGTGATGTCTATGTGAGGAAAGCAAAAACATTCCCAGAAACCCCAGCAGACTTCCACTTACACCTCCTTAGTCAAACCATATCATATGGTCACCCATTGCTGCAAGGGAGTCTGGGAATATGAATGTTTTTAGCTGGGCCCACTGTCCTCCTTAAGCAAAATCATTTCATAAGGAAGAAGGGAAGAATGGATATTGGAAAGGCAACCACATGGGTCCATTTTGGGGCTAATAAAGCTGAATCTCTGATGCAGGTGATCCTTGGACTACATTGTAAGAAAAACAGCTAGAGCCATAGAATGAGCCCAGACCCACATTTTCATAAGCCATCCTGGGGTGATGGATGCACTGGTCTTGGACATTTGTTATGCTGGCTTCCCAGAGCACACTCCACCTCTACTCGTACATCCATCATTTTTTTCTGAGAAATACCTGTATTTCCACTGCCCCCATACACATGGTTACAGCAGTAGGACTCTTGGAGGTCTTGTTCATATATCATGTTCCCACCCACCTGACCCAAACTGCTCAATCAGAGCCCCATTCCTGTGACTTTGGCATTGGAACTGAAATGTGAAGTCTCTCCTGATGGCTGGATCACGTAGATAGAGTGCTGCTGGCAGCCGGACCTTCTGCTTCATGAACTGGAGCAGCTGAGGAAAGAACACGAACCCCACACAGAAAGTGTGGTAAAAAGTCTTTGTGGTTGAGTCTCTGGTACTAGGTCATTCCTGAGGCCTGTACTGTCCTTGCCTTTGTTGGAGTCTGTGCCCTTATTTGTTCAGAACAACTTAAGCGAATCTTTGGTTGTGGCCAGGAGTTCTAATTCATACCCCAGCCCTGTGCTTCTGAGAAGAGAAAGAAGTGACTCTGGAGATCAGGGGCCCAGTCTTGGAGGAAGAAGTGAAACATGGCCATTTTCTTATCAACAAATTGGTCTTAGGAAAGACCCAAGGGAGAGTTCCTACCCTCTGGCTGTTGTCGTGGGACTCTAGAAAGCCACCTATCTTATATACCCTAGTGACCCACTGATAATGGGAAAAATGAGTGTTTTGTACACTAGGACCTCTAGGCTAAGGGTCTGGAGAGTTGGTTTTATTCCCAACCATGTACATTGAGATAAATACTCTGCCCCTCCATCTCTAGCTTTCACTACTTGTAAAACATGAAGGGTGCCCATTTGTTTTCCTGAGGTACAGGTAGGCTAGAGAAGCAGTATGGCTCAGAGGAAAAACAGATGGGCCTTAGAATCTGGAAGTCCAGCTTCATCACTAACTGTATGTCCTTAGCCAAGTTAGTTCATTTCTCTAAATCTCATCTGTAAACCGGTGGCAATAATTCCCACCTGGGGAGGATCACCTGCAATAGTGTGTGTAAAGCACCTAACACAACACCTGACAAATCCCTCTTAAACAGCACAACATCATTCCTGGCCATGCTAGATCTCAGTGCTAAGGCCTGGAGGAGAGGAAGGTAGCCCCTCCAGGAAGCTGTCAGTGCCAAAACAGCTGGCTCTCTGCAGTATTTTTTGCACCAGGCTAACCTCAGCACTCCCCTGGGAGTCGGAGTTGACAGCTTTGTTTGTTTTTTTAGCAATAACTGCTTTTCATTTTCTGTAAGATTTCCACTTTACAGGGAGCCAATAGCTAGAACCCAGAGGGAGGGAAGACAGACCCTTGGGAGAGAGACTAAGGGGAGGCTAGTCTTTTAATTCAGCACCCACAATATGCTAGGCACATCTATGTGCTTTAAACCAGTTGCCGTCAAGTCAATTCCAACTCATGGCAACCCATGTGTGTCAGAGTAGAGCTGTGCTCCATAGGGTTTTCAGTGGCTGATTTATTTTTTTTCAGAAGTAGATTGCCAGGCTTTTTTTTTTTTTTTCTGGGTGAAAATATATATATAAAAAACAAAGTCAAAAGAAAAAGGGTTTCATACAACACAGTGTCAAAAAGTAAAAGGAACACACTAAATGTAAAGTGGTGGCAAGTAAGTCCATAGCCTTTTGTGACAGGTCCTTTGTGATGGGTCCTTCCAGCCTCACTCAGGTTTCTTCTCCTTTGTTGTCTCAAGGTTATTTCCAGATGTGGTGACTTCGACAAGTCTCTCATGGGAAGGTGGGCAGATTTCAATCACTGGTTTCAGGATCCATCTGTCGCCAAGCCTTTCTTTTGAGGCTCCTCCAGGTGGACTGAAACCTCCGACCTTTTAGTTGCCAGCCAAGCGCTTTAACTGTTTGCACCACCCAGGGGCTCCCTATGTGCTTTGCATGCGTTATTTCCTGCTTTAATTACTTCTTGCTGATAAATGGAAGGACAGAGAGGCGTGCGGTATTGACAGCTAATCTGGATACCAACTAGGCAGTTCTGAAATCTGCTAATCAAAAAACTAAACCAGTTGCCCTCAAGTTGATCCTGACTCATGGTGACCCCATGTATGTCAGAGTAAGACTGTGCTCCGTAGGGTTTTCAGTGGCTGATTTTTCAGAAGTAGATCACCAGGCCTTTCTTCCAAGGCACCCCTGGATGGACTCAAACCACCAACCTTTTGGTTAGCAGCCAAATGCTTAACTGTTTGGGCCACCCAGGGACTCCTGAAATCTACTAAGAGCTCAGAATTAACTGGTTGGGGGCTGCAAGCCTAGAACATGTGCAGCTGCTACCTCAGCCCTGGCACAGACTTCAGACTAGGGCCTGGGACCTGTCCCTCAGTCCTGTTGGGCACACAGATCCCCTTTTATTAAGCAGCCAGTTCTTTTCCAAGGTGCTGATAACTGTAGCTAGGGCTCCAGAAACACTTGAATCCCTATGGGGCAAATGAGGAAGGAGAGAAGGAAGAAAATGAAAAAGGTAGGAAGAAAAAGAAGAATTAAGCAAAGAGAAGAGAAGAAAGGCAACCAACTCCATAATGATACTCATTCCTTTATTGTCGACTGTGTTAACTTGAACATGGCTGGGGCCTGCAGGTTGCTGGCAGCACCCAGTTGCGGGTGCATTTCAGCTCAACAGAGAGGTCTCCATCCTAAGCCAAGGGGACAGACGGTAATGTTTTTTTATATATATTTATATATTACATATGTCCGGTATAGTCATACATATAGAGTGACAAGAATGGGCCACTGCATTTTTAACTGTTGTCCTAAATAAAGACCATAGCAACAGACACGGAAATTTGGTCCTAATCAAGGCCCTTATTTTGTCAATCAAATGTCTGGTACATCAAAAGGAAAAGGAGGAGGAAAGAGAGAGACTGAGATCCAGCCACCCGCAGTGGCCCTGCTCCCAGTATATCTTAGGATGAGTGTGGAGTATCCCCTGTGGAGGTAAACACACACACAAACACACACACACATACACACGTACACAAAGCCGCAGGCAGGAGTTCCTCCTCAAACCACACCTCAGGCCCAGACCTCAGACTGGGAGTGGTGAAGCTGGGAATATTGTGCTATAAGACTGTGAGGAACGAGTGAACAGACAATGTACAATCAATGTATCCGAGTGATGAATGGGGATGACATGTGCTGCTTCATCCACAAAAGAGACAGAGGTCAGCGGGAGAGGCTGCTCGACACAGCCATGGCAGTCCCTCTGCGAGCAGGCCACCTGGGGCATTTTATACACAACTCCTGTCCCAGCCACAGCCAAACCTCTCATCTGACTCCTGAGTCTCAAATAATCCCTTGGGCTCTGATGAAAAATGTAATTTCTTTGGAGGACAGGAGCAAATGGCAATGGAGTTGCCCAACCACATAGTCCAGTGATGACAGTAGAAATGATAGCATTGCTGAGCTAAACAAAACCAAACCTTAATCCTCTGAGCCAAACTTGAGCTGTGTAAGAAGGGCTCATTTCCTGATGTAAAGAGAATCACCAGGTAATCAGCCCCCACTTCTACCACCCACACATCAAATTTCAGTAGATCTGTCAGTCTCATGTCCTTACCCCAAAGATGAAATTCCTCATATTCAGGGATCTGGAGACTCCTGCTATTTTGGCATTTTGAAATTCTAAATCACTTGTTTGCTTTCATAATTACCCCTTCCCCCTTCAACCAAGATATGCACTTATAAGACAAAGAAAATTAATCTTTTTTTAAAATAGAAATTTAGTTATCACTTCAGATAGCAGGAGACATTTTGGGATGTCACAAAGGGAAGTGAGGAATACTGCCTTACAGATGAAATTGCACAACTGCTGAAAAAGTGCATTTTCCAACAAAATAAGTGTCCCCAAAAATTTGATTCAGAAACAGGGGTAACAGGCAAAGCTGACAAAGATTGTGCCTGGGTCTCTTTCTCCTGTGTGAAATGAGGAGGAAAAGCAACAGATTTAGATACCTTTGTTGAGCCAGGGGTAGAAAGACACTGATCCTTTCCACTATGAACTGGGATCCAGGTAGCTGCAGGGAAGGAAGAGCAAAGCAGGAAGGAGCATCCTCTCAAAAATGGGAGTCAGCTTGATCTCTTGCTGACCAAAGTGACTCCTCAGAGGGGAAGAAACAAAGGGACCCATAAGAAGGACTTTCCTTGAAGACCATCCAGCTTGTCTCAATTACTATTCCAATTTCTGCAGGTCTGGAGGAGGCAGCAAATAGTTAGTTTGAAATTCCCACCCAGGAGTTGGGAAGGTGGGAAGGAAGCAGAGTTTAAGAAGCCGTGACTGAGTTCTTGCCAAAACTGAAGGGCCTGGGCTGTGCCAGTGAGGCCACTTAAGTCCTTGAAAAAGAGCTGAGCGGCGGAAAGAGGCTGTCTGGGCCCCAGAAAGTGGAGAGCAGGGCTCTCTCCACTGAGAGCATAGGCCCAATGCTGTCAGGACATCTCTTGTCCTCAGTGGACACCCAGCATTTTTCTAGTCCCGGGAAGTGCTTAGGACCTGCTCACTGTCAGTGTAGAAGGAGATGGAAATTGTGGAGTAGGACAGGTAGAAGACATACTCTCTTCTCAGGCACTGGCCACCTTCACTTCTGGGGCAGCTGAAACGGGGAGGAGCTTGAAGTCTGACTGAGGGTCCAAAGTCAGAAGAAAATGAGGCTACGCAGTGACCACTGTAGGCCCAGACAGCTCAGGTGAGGGCATCTCCCCCATACTAACTGAGCTCCATGAATAAATAACATGAATTAAATAAAGGAGGCTAAGAAGAGCAGACAGAGGCACTGTCTGCCTGATTCTCACCCCTTCACACATACACACACATACACATGCACACACACACACACACACACACACCAAGTGGCAGATGAGATGATCCAGGGTTGACTGCCCCGTCCCTAGAGTCTGTTGGATGGGCAGCCTGACCAGGAAGGTTGTCACTCGTGTTCTAGTACTGTCGTGGGGTGCAGAGAAGCGGAGGCCAGCGAGGCATGTGTGGTAGAGGATGGAGGCCGCTGAGAACTCTGACACCTGCAGGGGGTGGGGACAAGGTGTGGTGAAGGAGAGGTTAGGCAAGTGCAGGAAACAGAAAAGTGAGGTCTTTCCTTCCCCTCATCCTCTTGCTGTAGGAACTTCTCCCCCACAGCCCCAGTCATCACCCTATCTCCGGCCCTTTGGGTACAACCAACACCCTCTTCAGCCTCAACAAGTCCATGGAGTTCCCCTGCCTCCTAAGCCCGATGTTCACCCAGACCATGGTGATACTAACCAGGATCTGGACTTTCGGACTTTAGAGGTGGAAGGTCTTTCGAGAAAGCTGTCCAACCGCATGAGCCTCTCCATATGTAGTGCACGGGGGTCTTGTTCTTGGTCATGAGAGAATTCCATCTCGAAGACAGCTGGAGGGGACACGTCCAACTCCAAAAACATTATGTTTTCAGCCTGTGGTGGAAATATCATATCAGACATGAGCAGAGTCCCTGATGACTATACCTTCTAGGCACTCGGTAAATATTGCGTATAGTGAGGGGATGACGTAGTAAGAGGAAGCAGAAGCTGGGATCATTGCCTCCCTTGAACTCGACCTCCCCTCCCCTCTCCCATTTCCCAGCTTCTTACCCTGTATCTGGGGTGGGACCCCATTGCCATGGCAACCCGAGCATACTGGCTGATAGGCCTCTTGTAGCCCACTGCAGAAGTTGGCCGCTTCTTCATTTGGCTGTTACTGCTGTAGGAAAGAGGCTGTATTAGAATAGTTTTCCTTGGAAAACAAAGAAAAAATGATATCACAAGGAATTAAGTATCATTCAGGTAGCCAGGAGGCCCTGCAGATCACAGGTTCTGAAATTTTTTCTTCTCCTTGCTCTCATATGACCTGACAACTAAAACTGGCATGACACAAAGAAGCACATATTTCTTCACCCCTGTTGCTCTAATTTTTTTCCACAGTAAAGAGGGCTTATTGAAGGCTGGGATGGAGAAAGGGAATCCAATATCTTTTAGCTTTCAGATTCATATACTGACTTCACACACTACAAAAAACTGTTGCTGATTGGTGACTTTGCTTTTCATTTTCCTTCATGGGATGCAGAATAAGAAAATGGTTAAAAACTCAGGCTTGAAATGCGGGGGTCCAAGAATAGCCAAAACAATCCTGAAAAAGAAGAACAAGATTGGAGAACTCACACTACCTGATTTCAAAGTTTACTACAGAGCTACAGTAATCAAGACACTGTGGTGCAGGCATAGGATAGGCATATAGATCAATGGAACAGAATTAAGAGTCCATAAATAAACCATTACATTTATGGTCAACTAATTTTAGACAAGGATGCCAAGACAATTCAATAGGGAAAGAATAGCTTTTATCATCAAATGATGCTGGATAGTCACATGCAAAAGAATGAAGTTACACCATATATAAAAAGTAACTCAAAAATGGATCATAGACTTAAATGTAAAAGCTAAACATATAAAACTCTTAGAAGAAAACATTGGAGTAAATCTTCATGACCTTGGAATAGGTAATGGTTTCTTAGATACAACCTCGAAAGCACAAGCAACAAAAGAAAAAAATAGATAAACTGAACTCCATCAAAATTAAAGACTTTGTACTTCAAAGAATACTACCAAGAAAGTGAAAATATAACCCACAGAATAGGAGAAAATATTTGCAAATCATGTACCTAGTAAGTGACTTGTATCCAGAATATATAAAGAACTCTTACAAATTAACAATAAAAAGACAAATAACCCAATTTAAAGATGGGCGAAGGCTTTGAATAGACACTTCTCCAAAGAAGATATAAACATTGCCAATAAGTGCATAAAAGATGCTCAACGTTATTAGTCATTAAAAAAATCTGTTGCCGTTGAGTCGATTCCGACTCATAGTGACCCTATAGGACAGAGTACAACTGCCCCATGGGGTTTCCAAGGAGTGGCTGGTGGATTCAAACTGCCGCCTTTTGCTTAGCAGCCAAACGCTTATCCACAGCACCACTAGGGCCCGAAAACCAAACCGGATGCCATCAAGTCGATTCTGACTCATGGTGACCCTTAGGGAAATGCAAATCAAAACCACAAAGAAATTCTATTTACAATAGCATCTAGAGGAATAAAATACCTGGGAATAATTTTAATAAGGGAGGTTAAAAGACTTGTATACTGGAAACTGCAAAACACTGCTGAAAGAAATTAAAGAAGATCTAAATAAATGGAAGGACATTCCATGTTCATGGATAGAAGACTTAATATTGTTAATATATCAGTACTACCAAAGTGATCTACAGATTCAACATAATTCCTATCAAAATTCCAACAGCCTTCTTGCAGAAATGAAAAAGCCAGTCCTCAAATTTATATGGAATTTCGAGGGGCCTGAATAGCCAAAACAATCTTGAAAAAAAGAACAAAGCAGGAGGACTCACACTACCCAATTACAAAACGCACTATAAAGCCACAGTAATCCAAACAGTCTGGTACTGGTATAATAACAGACATATAGACCAATGGAATAGAATTTGAGTCCAGAAATAAACCTATACATCTATGACCAACTGGTTTTCAAGGGGGCTGGCTTAGTTCTCTAGTGCTGCTATAATAGAAATGCCATAAGTGGATCACTTTAACAAACAGAAATTTATTCTCTCACAGTCTAGGAGGCTTGAAGTCCAAATTCAGGGTGCCAGCTCCTGGGGAAGGCTTTCTCTCTCTGTTAGTTTTGGAGGAAGGTCCTTGTCGTCAATCTTCCCCTTGTCTAGGAGCTTCTCAGTGCAGGGACCTCAGTTCCAAAGGACATGCTCCACTCCTGGCACCTTTCTCATGGGTATGAGGTCCCTCTCCTCTCTTGCTTCTCTCTTTTATATCTCAGAAGAGATTGACTCAAGATACAACCTAATCCTGTAGATTATGTCCTGCCTCATTAACATGACTGCCTCTAATCCTGCCTCAACAACATCATAAAGGATTTATAACACATAGGATAAAAACATCAGATCATAAAATGGAGGACAACTACACAGTACTGGGAATCATGGTCTAGCCAAGAAGAGACACATTTTTGGGGGACACAATTTAATTCATAACATTCCACCATTTGGCCCCCCAAAATTCATGTCCTTGCCACGTGTAAAACACACTCACCCCATCATATCATCCCAAAAGTCTTAAATCAACTCCAAGTCCAAATTCTATCCTGGGACAAAATTCCTCTTCATCTGTGAAATCTAGAATACAAGTTAACTGCTTCCAAAGTACAATGGTGGAACAGGCACAAGCCAGACATTTCCATTACAAATTGGAGAAACTGGAGGAAAAAATGGGATAACAGGCACAAAGCAAGTCAGCAGAACACATTACATTAGCTCTCAAGGCTTGAAAATAATCTTCTGTTCTTTGAGACCATCTAGGCAATGGCCCTGCCCTTCAGACTGTGGGTGTTGGCCAGACTGTCTGGATTCTTGGCCCTGGGCTTCAACTCCACCTTCCAGGTCCGCTGGAATGGCAACTCTCTTCTCTTGGCTTTGGGTAGCCACATTTTGCTAGACTGTCTGAGCGGCAAACCCACCCCCTTGGCCCCAGCAGGCCCTGTTCTACTGCCCCCTGGGCATGGCAGCCCCACCCCCTCAGCTTTGGGCAGCAGATCTGGCCCCATCCCACTGGCACTTGTGAAAGGCAGCCCCAGTCTAGAACCAAGTTGGTGAAGCTCTGACTCTTTGAAATCTAGGAGGCTGTGGTCCCACCGTTTGAGACTCAGCAGGTGGTGATTCTATCTTTTGAGACTCCAGAGGTCATGGCCATACACACTGAGACTGAGGTAGCTCTGCATCCCATGATCCTTGTCTCTTCAGCCTCTGCTTCCTGGTTCCTTGGCCTCTTGACCCCTCGGCCCTTGGGCCCGCCCAGTGTCTGCCCTGCTCAGGCAAGTGTTCCAAAGCTCTTCAGCTCTACCGGTAAGTGCCTGGAGGCACCCCACTCTGCCAGTAAACCTCAGCTGGAAGGCACTCAGCTCTCTTGCTCCATGCGTCAGCAAGCCTAGCTTCACCATTAAGTGCCCAGAGGCACCCCACTCGCCAGGAAGCCTCCTGTGCAAAGGCACTCAGCTCTCTCACTACGTGGTTCGGCTCCTGTGCCATCTTGAGCTGGTCTCCTGGTTCAGCTGCTGCCATTCTTTGCCGCTGCTTCTAGCCGTCTGCACCATCTCCTGTGTTACAGCTCTCCTCACTTCTGAGTCCTCACCAGAATTGTTTTTGATGTCCATAATTCCACCAACAGTCCCTTCAAGGCAATCTAGGCTTTTACTATTAGGCACTTTAAAACTCTTCCAGCCTCTACCCATTACTCAATTCCAAAACTGCTTCTACATTTTAGGTATCTGCTAGAGCAGCACCCCACTCTAGCGGTACCAAATTCTGTCTTAGTTATCTAGTGCTGCTATAACAGAAATACCACAAGTGGATGGCTTTAACAAACAAATTTATTCTCTCACAGTCTGGGAGGCTAGAAGTCCAAATTCAGGGCACCAGCTCCCGGGGAAGACTTCCCCTCTCTGTTGGTTCTGGGGGAAGGTCCTTGTCATCAATCTTCCCCTGGTCTAGGAGCTTCTTAGTGCAGGGACCTCAGTTCCAAAGGACACGCTCTGCTTCTGGCACTTCTTTCTTATTGGTTTGAGGCCTCCTCTCTGCTTGCTTCTCTCTTTCATATCTCAAAAGAGATTGACTCAAGGTACAACATAATCCTGTAGATTGTGTCCTGCGTCATTAACATAACTGCCTCTAATTGAAAATCATAAAATTTTTATGATTAAAAATTTAATCCCTGTTAAAATCATAGAGGATTTACAACACATAGGATAAATATATCGGAGCACAAAATGGGGGCAACCACACAATACTGGGAATCATGGCCTTGCCAAGAAGACACTCATTTTGGGGGGACACAAGTCAATCCATAACAGGGGCTAAGTCCATGCAATGGGTAAAGAATAGTCTCTTCTATAAATGGTGATGGGACAACTGGATCTCCACATGCAAAAAGAATGAAGCTAGACCCATACCTCATACCGTATATGAAAATTAAATCAAAGTGGATCAACAACCAAATGTAAGGATTAAAACCTTAAAACTCTTAGAACAAAACATAGGGGTAATGCTTCGGGACCTAGTTTTTGAAAAGGGATTCTTAGATATGACACCACAAGCACAATCAACATAAGACAAACTAGATAAATCTGACTTCATCAAAATTAAGAATTTTTGTGCATCAAAGAACTTTACCATGGAAGTGAAGAGACAACTTACAGGATGGGAGGAAATATTTGGGAACTATATATCTGACAAGGGTTTACTGTCTAGAATATATAGAGAATTCCTACAACTCAACAATAAAGACAAACAACCCAATCGAAAAATGGGCAAAGGACTTAAATAGACATTTCACCAAAGAAGATACACAAATGGCCAATAAGCACATGAAAAGATGTTGAATGTCATTACTCATTAGACTTTTTGTTTTTGCTATTACATACAGTGCTGCTGTGAACATTTCTGTACAGGTATCTTCATGTATGTGTTCAAAAGGAATGGAATTGTCGAGCTGCAGGATATGTGCATTTTCAACTTCACTAGATACTGCCAAATTGCTTTCAAAGTGGTGATACTTATTTCCACTCCTGCCAATGTATGAAAGTTTCTGTTGCTGTATATCCTACCTAACCAATGGTAT